CTGCCACTCCCCTGACGGTTTTTACCGGGCTGACCAAGCCGTCATACCGGGCTGGGTAATAAGAGAAATGAAAGAGGGGAGAGGGAGGGAAAGAGAAAGAAGAAGAAAAGGAAAGAAAAAGAGAAGAGAAAAATAAAGACAAGAATAAAAAGGAAAATTTCATAATGACCAGACTCACAACACCCTGCAACCCCTTCTCCACTTCAAAAACTGCCATAACTCCTTTGATCTATGCTGCCCGATGGTGTAACCACTGGGGGACAAAGGGAAAATATCTATCTTTGAAAAATCTTCCCCACCCCTTTATAAATGCCCTTTCATCCCCTGAAATTGCCTAAAACCTCAAATTTCGCGCGCATTTCTTGTTAACATGATCCAATTTCGTCTTAAAATTGCATATTTTAGGGAGTTTTGATCAATTCCAACGAAATTAGAATTAAAAACACAGGGGGACAAGGGGAAAATATCCATCTTTGGAAAATCTTTATAATTTTCTGCCTAAAATTCTCAAATTCTTTGCGCGCATTTCTCGTTACGGTAGGCCAATTTCCTCTATAAATTGCACATTTTAGGGAGTTTTCATCAATACCGACAAAATTAGAATTAAAAACACAAAAATATTTTTCGCGCTTGGCGCGCATTTTTTAGGGCTTTTTTAGTTTTATCCTTTTAAGTTATTTAAACACATAATAGTCCCAAACTCAAGAAAGACAAAGTTAAGATAGATCATTTTAACCTAAAAGAAGGGCCTCAATGTGTATAGATGGTTGGAAGAATATGTTAATAAATAAATATGTAATAAATAAAACCATGATGAAAATGCTTATATTTAGTTTCAAACACACGTGTGTGGCCTATATATTATAAATAAGATAAGCCCTATGTCATATTGTTTTCTATATGGGGTGTGGGGTGGGGTGGGTATGGTAAATTACTAACCGGGAAATGAGGATTGTTGTCGTCGTCGTTCGTCGTCGTCGTTCGTCGCCGTCGTCGTCGGTTGTTGTTGTCGTCGGTTGTTGTTGTTGTCGGTTGTTGTTGTTGTTGTCGGTTGTTGTTGTTGTCGGTTGTTGTTGTTGTCGGTTGTTTTTGTTGTCGGTTGTTGTTGTTGTTGTTGGTTGTTGTTGTTGTCGGTTGTTGTTGTTGTCGGTTGTTGTTGTCGGTTGTTGCTGTTGTCGGTTGTTGTTGTTGTCGGTTGTTGTTGTTGTCGGTTGTTGTTGTTGTCGGTTGTTGTTGTTGTCGGTTGTTGTTGTCGGTCGTCGTCGTCGTCGTCGTCTTCGTCGTCGTCTTCGTATTCGTCGTCGTCGTTGTTGTTGTTGTTTGTACTGTTCTTTAATTTTATTAAAGAGGACCCCTGAATATCAGTTAACCTACTGGGCTAAACTAGAATGGTTACCCTCTTTATAGATGGTTGAAATAAAAAATAAATAAATAAATACCCACTCTGACCCAAGACCCCTGTTACGCGCCTGGTGTTAGCGCCAATGTGTTCCCTTGTGCGGACAGGAAATGTGCCCCCCTCTGAAGCTGGAAACCTTGTTTTTGCAAAATAAATTTATGCAATTTGCTATTATAGGAAAATTATTTCTGCGACAGTCTTTTTAAGTGTGTAAAGCTCCATTTTATCCCATACATAGTCAAAATATTGGGGGGGGGGGGGATACAATGGACCATACTCCATGTCAAATATTGGGGGGGGGGATATATCCCCCATCCCCCCAAAAAATAACAAATTTAATTAATTTCATAAATACAGTAGCCTACGTACTAGAAGTCAAACTGGTTATGAATGTACTGTATGTATTATAGGGTTAAAAATAGAAATGACTTCGTTATTTCCTATATTTAAGGGAGCGCTGAATATCAGCCGACCTTCTAGGATACGTTGGAAGGGGCACCCTTCTCTATAAAATATTGTCAAAAATAAATTGGGTTTTCGTTAGAATCAAGATTTATTTTAATACTATCGATTTTCGCATTGATCCCCTACCCAATCCAAAACCAGCCTACGCCACTGGAAGATTAGGTCTATTATTAGCTATTCAGTGACTCGTTAGGCCCTATAAAAAATATTATAAGTTTATCACCCTATCTGGGCAGGAAAAGTTATGAGGGAGGGAGGCTTTTTTTTTAAATTTTTTATTTTGCTAAAGCCAAATATAACCCTTGGTTTGTTTGCTGGTGCATTGATATTCAAAGTAAAACATGATTTAGATAATGCAAACAATATCTGCTAACTATTTAATAAAATAAATGAAAAAAATAAATAAATAAAATTAAAAATATAAATTTTTCAAAACATTTTTTTTTTTCAAATTTTTTTTTTTTTTTTTCAATTTTTTTTTCTAGTACCATAGAAGGCATGCGCGCGAGGGTGATAAACTAATAATTTTTTTTATTTGGCCTTAAACTAATCGTTGGCTGTTTTGTCTTTATCAGGCCACTGAGTGTACACTGTGCATAAGCTGTCAGTAATTAACTGTGGCCAACTGAACCCACTCTTCATGGCAGAGGTAAACATAAAACCATTTAAAAACAGTTAATTGATCATTAAGAATACATGAGACAGCTTTGTATTACGTTTGATAAGGGTAGAATTCCAACAAAATTTGAAATAATTATTTTGTGCTCTAGTTTCACATTAATACGGTTTAAACATTTGAAGTATTAATATTATATCTGATAAAAATATTATTATTATTGTTGTTATTGATATTGATATTTATGTTACATTTATAATCATTAATAAACATTATTAATATTATGTACCGGTATATGATATCCGATCTGAGCATCCGTGTCTATATACACTGTCTGAAAAAAATTATATTAGCCCTATATATTTATTTTTCCAAGTATATAAATATTACAGTACCTAAAAGTGTATACAGCACATATTTTATTTGTAATCATTCGTAGCTGTTGGAGAAGTTTGCTGTACAGTGAAAATTAATTGTTAGCACTATCAGCCACAGCGGTCAAATCCTAACAAGTTTTGTGTATCTACATTTCAATCAACAAAAACCTAATTCTTGAACATATGATGTGATGTTATGTTTGCAGCCCGTCACTGTTGATATTGATTGTGGAGAAGAGATAACGCCCGATGATATTCAACGATTGAAAAATGAAGTAACAGATGAACGTTATTCAGCCTATATTGACGCTGCTAATGCGCTGGTCTGTAAAACACCGTCCTGGGTTCTTAGAGATGCAGAGATATTCATCACTTTACCACACCAGCATTATACGTTGCATGCCGGTGAGAAAACTAACAAGTATGCCATTTTTTATGACGACGAGACTAAAAAAGTGGAAACTGTTCGAAAAGATTGTGGTTGGTGGTTGTATCTCAAGGAAACAGCAACTAATACTTTTGAATGGGTTACCAAAAATGTTCCTTTATCACCATTATTGATGCTGATATTCGGAAAATTATTAGCTAAGCCTATTAAATCTAGTTAACAGGTTTTAGAGATCTATCACCTTTTGCTTCGCAGTAGCGGTAGTAAATACGTTCGTCAATGTGAATGTCACAAAATCGAAAGATACTTCAATAATTTCAATATACAAGAGCAAATGAATTTTTGTGACCATAGAAAGCTGTACAGTCAGAAAACACTTTCAATTGCAGATACAGTAAGACCAAAAAAATGTACCCAAGGGAATTGGAAATCATAGTTTGTCAACTCGGGATGTTTTGTTGCAGTTTTTATCTTGCAGTTCAATGATCACTTGCTCATGCATTTTCAAAATTGTAAAAATTATTTATTCAAACTTGAAAATACTTCGGACTAATTATAGGCTTAATTTTAAATACCGTAATTTTGTATAGGTCTACTGTGGTTTTAGAGATTAAAGCTTTAGCTTAGTTGTTTTAATAGTGTTTCTTTGTTAAATT